GCTGCTCCCCTTTGGCCTTCCTGGCATGGTTGCACCTTGTGGAACGAAGTTCCAGCCAGTGTAGCCCGCGGGATCATTGCAGCACTCAAGCCCGACCACCACGTCAAGGTGGCAGCTTTAGGTCAAGGTATTGATCGCGGGAGAATTGACGGTAACTGCTTGGATGTATGCGCGCCATTGGGCCATGTACGTCAACTTCTCTAGGAATTGATGTACCCAACCTCAAGGCCTTCCACCCGGGAGACAGCAATGACTAGCAAAGCTGAGCTCGCTGATGCTGGTGCTGGTTGAACATGAGCCGAGGAGCTGTCGGTTTTACAGTATCTCCAGTAGGAAACAATGGTAGATAAGAGGCTTCGAATATTCGGCTGATAACCTGTCATCAACTCCGTCGCCTTCTCTTGACTGAACAAGCCATTCGTTCCAAAGTACAAGCAAATCAAATGAAAAAATATACACTCCGATTTTGGTACATAGCTGACTTTCCAAAATTACTCATGGATACATCCTGTACCCAGTCGAAAAACAAACGAGAAACTCAGTACGAAAGCCTACGGATTCGGAGGTGGCACTACTTGGATATCTGCAGTCATTGTGGAGCAATTCATTCAGTCAAATTGGTGAATCTTGAACGTATTTGCACTGTCAAAGAGTGTGTCGGAAAAAGTTCACCTAAAAGAACACGTTCATTTGTTTCAAAAGCATTTACCATAGGGGTGTGCTGTTTCCCAGAAGTGCTTCGAAAAACAGCTCGGACTGCTCGTCCTAATAGAAAGATATTTGAAATGCACTGCCGGTAAGAATGCACTTTCGGTAAGAACAACAGTAGAATAACCAGAGTTAGATAATGGTTGTGTTTGGTGATGACTGTTGCAATTACGAGGATCATAGAGTCATCAAACCCGTGCACTGTAACACGTCAGGTCTACTGAAGAAATTCTGTTCTATTCCGTCACGCCAACTGACCAGCGCCAATCAGGTTTGCATTTATGTCCACAGAAAGTTTGTAAACTGATGTGTCAAAATACAAAAAGGCGCTACAGTACCTTGGAGGTTAGGGGTAAAAAAAAGTAGAATAATTCTGTTCACTTGAGCATTTGTCAAGACCATTAAACAGCTTCTGCGTCGTTTTCGCGGTTCTACGCATCGTCGTAGGCTGACCACCTCAGAGCATAGATGATAAAAAGGGCTCTACGACGCAGAATATCCCCTGTCATGCAAAACACATGTCTTGGACGTCGCAACTTTCAAATAAAAGCACTTGAAATATTGCAGGGGCTCCTTATTCCTAAAAGCATTTGACGTGGCGATCCCTATCCAGGCTTGGGCTTGCTTCCTTCGAGTGGCCTGGCAGTCAGGCACCAAAAAAGTGTTACAGCTGAACGATTTTCTTTTCATCTTTTTACTAGACCTCACCCAAGTACTGCCCAAGTACTATCTAAGACACCAAAGAAACAAACCAACGGTCTTCTTGAGCAATAGGAACTGGGAATGACCTGATACCTGAAGCCTACAAAGAACATTACATAAGCTCGTATTCTACCTCAGCACCTCATCAGACGCAGTCTTGGCAAGAAGCAACTGCAAACGAGCTAAAACAATTTGAGTTTCTCGGAAGATGCTTTGTGCAAGGCGAACCCTTCCGGCGTGTTGGGGGCAGATGAGGTCCATCTAAGGACACTACAGAAAACACTGCTCCACGTGCTGGTTCTTCAGCTGCCTGACGAAAACAAGCTTCCTTCTTCTTGGAAGGAAGCGACTGTCACGCCCTCCTTCAGATCTGGTGACCGGTCATCACCCGACAGCCATAGGCCTATTAGCTTCACTAGCATGCGTACAAGGTGATGAATGGACTTTAAGGTGGGCAACCTTAAAACAACCCAAAACCACCAAACAGATACCCCTGTTTTCGTATTTATGGACAGCTTATTGCAAGCCAAAGATGAAGGACTCGTATTGGACGCCATATTTTTTCCATTTCCTAAAAATATTCGACCGAGTCCCGCAAGCCCCATTGCTCCACAAACTCGAGCCCTATGGGATTCGTGGAGGAATTCTACACTCGATTAAGGCTTTCCTTCCAAGCAGAACATTCCGAGTAAAAGCCACATCAATCTGCGCTTCCTTCCCGTCTCTATTGGAGTACCTCAAGGCTCCCTCTCGAGGTCACTCCTCTTTCTGATCTACGCGATCATGTCTGCTTTATGAGGACGACCTGAAATATTGATGTTCATAATCCAGGACACTTTAAACGGATGTGATCGCCGCAAAGCAGTGGCCACTGGACTGGCACTCTTCCCTGAATGACAAAAAGTGCACGAATATATCAGACGGAGGACATTCAGTGGATGCCTTCATCATACATGGTGAGAATGGATTAGAAGACATTACATAGCTAGATATAAAGAAGCATTTAGTTGGTAATGTGGTGAAGCATTTAGTATCTAGCCCCATCCAAACGAGTACTTTTCGCTCCACCATGAAGCTAAAAAGGCATTCAGACGATTCGGTGTACCTTGATTGCCAAATGCGTCTGAAGAACCTTAACCCTTTCCACTGTGAAATCGTTGCTTCATAAAGGATTGGATACTGGCCAGTGAGAACACTTATTACGAGTTGATTTTCATTTCGAGTAGTTGATACAGGGAATTACCTTCCATCCACGGTTGTTCGGGCTGCATCCAGGGCTTTCATGACAGTCGTTGCACTGACATGCTCACTGCACAGCATTGAGAGCTTAAACAGCGGTACTATATTCTTTTATGCCTTGTGCTCTTCGTAAGAGCGGGATCGGATGAACGACAAGAACAAATCGGGCCGCAAAGCTTCGATGCGGCCCTTAAACCTGTGTATTCACTCGTAGTGCCCAGGACCAAAAGGTGTTTACGGTCATTTACGAAAAATTTATGGCACCGTAGAGATACTCACCTGACTTCTGAGATAACTCAGTATCTTTGATATGCCTTGAGTTTCAATACCACCATGCCGCAGCAGTGGTAAGTTTGTAAATCGGCTGTCATTGTGAGAAGCGTCATTAAGTTTCATGGGACAGTTTCCGAGGTAGACGTATGCCTATTTATATGCGGTTCGTAAATCAAATCTTACAAGTACAACCAGAGAATCCGAGTCATGAGAAACGAGGCCATCTGCGCCGGGTGACACGCACAATTCCATGAGACGAAACGAGCATGAGGACCACGCCTCCCCTTAGCAGTGCATCTAGACAAATTTATTTGGGGCCAAGGTCAGGTCGATGTTGGTCAAGATCCATACGGGATTACAGGATAGACTCAAGGATAGGCAAATTTTGATAGGAAGAACTGTACTAGAGCTCTTAAAAGAATATTTCCGCACGGCAATATCTGACTGATTATTCGAGCGGATCTACGTCAGGCCGCTCCTGGTATACGCCAACCAAGTTTTCTACTCAGGCAGCACGAAAGACGTCAGCCTCATTGAGCGTGTCCAGCGAGCGGCCATGAGAATGGTTGCCGGCCTCAACTCCGTGGACTACGAAACTCGTCTCGCGATGCTTGATCTCTTTTCTCTGGAGTACCGTCGCCTCCGAGGGGACCTAATTCTTACTCATGCCCTGTTTGAACAAAGCGTGGAAAACAGGTTTTTTTTACCGTTGACCCAACAAACACACGGCGGGGACATAGTAAGAAAATTTTTATTCTCAGAGCGCACACATTCATTGGACAAATTTTTTTCCATTTCGGGTAGCAGGTGCGTGGAATGACCTTCCTCCGACGGTTGTTCACGCTCCTTCTAGAACCCAGTTTAAAGCACTATTAGACACTTATTTATGCGAATCCCCGCGCTGGCGAGCATACTGCCCCGCGCTGAGAGCACGAAGAGCAGTGCTACATCCCTTTTTCACTTGTACCTTTTAGGTGAACGACAGCCACTAACCGACAAGAACAAAAGCGACCCGGGAAACTTGGGCAAAAGCCTCGATCCTGTGTATCAATAAGTGAATCCGTGAATCCGGGTACAGGTTTCTATTACACACATTCGGTCCTTCCGAAGAAAGATACCAACTGCGTTGTCATTGAGGAACAGAGGTGGGAAACCCACGAATTATCCAGTAGTGGCATCTAAGATCTAATGTGAACACTGTGCATTCCTATGTACCGCCTCAGCGACCTTGTCACATCCACATTTTTCAAGGCGTAACTACGAGCAGCCTCTAATCCATATCATATCGGATGCCATATTTTTCGATTTCTGAAAGTCACTCGATTGAGTCCCACACGTCCCACTACCCCACAAACTCCAGTCTCACGGGGTTCAAGGGGAGTTCTGCACTGAATTAAGGCGTCCCTGTTAGACAGAACACTTCGAATGAAAGTGAGCTCAATCTGCTCTTCTCTTGTGCCCGTTTCCATTATAGTTACTCCGTTCTTAAGGCCAATTCTGTTTCTGATTTACGTCGACCACCTTCCAGCCGTTCTTGAAAGTTTCAGCAGAGTGGTGATCGTTAGACTGTTACCTTCCCCTGAATGACGAAGCGTGCATCCATTTATCATTCGGAGAAGACTCGACGAATAGTTTTCCTTGCGAATGAACCAGAAGACATCGTGGGGATGGATGTCAAAAAGGATTTTTGTAGCTAGCTCTCTTCAAACGGATCACTCTCCCTGTACTATGGAAAATCGGTTCAAAAAGCATTCGTTGTTCTACGGATGATTCGGTAAACTTTCCCCCAAATTGCTCGCATATACTTCCAAATGCTTCAGAGCGTTTAGTTAAGGCTAATGTGCCAACAAAGTAGTGTAATCAGGACGCAAAAAGGATGTAACCCTTATTGAGATTGTACAAAGAGCCACTACGAAAGTGTCTGTTGGCCTCAAACCCCTGGACCCTGAAACGCGTCATGCAGTGCTTGACCTCTTTCCCATGGAGCACTGTTGCCCCTAAAGAGTCCTGATTAAAAAAGGTTCGTTCAACAGTGCTTTTCTAAATTTATCCAGCTTAAACAAGGCCTGTATATGGTGAGAATAAATTCAGGTTCACAGAACAATTTCATTAGACAACATTTATTTGTTTCTCGTATTTGCTGCGTAAAATAACCTTCCTTTGACCGCTGTCCACGTTAAATTTAGTAACCAGTTGCAACCAGTCGCACGCTTTTAATGCGAATCCTGGCGAATTTACAGCTCCGCGCCCAGAACTTAAATGGGAACGCTATATCATATTGTTAGCTTGTGCATTTCAGATGAAAGAAAGCCGCTGAACAAAAAGAGCAAACCTGACCCGAGAAGCTTGAACAAACGCCTCTATCCTGTGTATCCGTCCGTGACTCCGTGACTCCGTAGCTGGTTTCCGTCAACTCACTGAAAGCAATCGAAAGGCCCCCTTTGTTCCAGCGGCCTGCACCCTGGTACCGATAATATGCCAAAATCAAAGCCGAATCTGTTGAGTCATCATCGTTTTGAAGCTGGCCAACTATCTTGAGAGGGCGGTCAGTGACCGGTGATTTATTTCGGCAGTCAGACTTTATCATTCCTGTTTCACAATCTGCCACACAATAAGATCAAAATTGACCCCAGAATCTTGGGAGAATGCCTCTATCCTGTGTATCCGTTCATGAATTTGCGAAGACTTGGTCAGTCAAATTTAACTGCGCTACCTTGCACCTTTCCAGATTACAAGTGTGTCTAGATTGCTTGTGTCTGGTTGATTCGTAAAGGTAGCGTGTGCAAACTACAGAATTGTTGCTTCGCTTGCTTCTTGCGGACTAAACGGAACTCCTGTGGTATTTCATTCAAGTGTGGGCTGACGAATTCCCTCCAACATTAAGCGAAATTTCGGCAAGCAATCTTGCAAGGCCGGAAATGGATCGGCGGCTAGAATAAAACAGCAAATGTTTCAATAATTTCAACTATTGTCAAGTCGGCTACGAATCGTTTCCTATATGGTGGTAGAGCGCCTGGTCAATACCAACCTAAAGCGTTTTGGTTTCACAGAACGCCTCTAAAGGTTATTTCAAATTTTCGGTTCAATTTGGTTCATTAGCTTGACGCACGTGTTAAACGAGAATAAATCAAGAGGAATAATTTTATACGTCTTCCAACCCTGGACCCAACCAAGTAAAAAAATTGTGAATATCAATGGCAGGGTAGTCAAAAATTTCTGGATAAATAAAAAGGTGAGTCGAAATTGAGAATCGACAATGATTTCCTCTTTATTTAGATGCGAGGACCGCGAAATTTTCGTATCAGAGTACTGTTTTCCTTGGAGAGTAAGTCACTCTTCAAGCACTGTAACTTTTCAACGATCGAAGATGTGCGGCAGCTCCTAGGAAGACTCGCTAGCTCTGGCTGGTTTTAGGACAAATGCGGCCAGCGAATCTTGTTAAACGGGCCGATGGCCACGAATTTTGCTAAGATTTCGTGAGATCCATAGACTGTTAGAACGTGAGCTTAGCATGCGATGACTGCGAAATGTGTGTACACTCGTGACACAGCCTCAATCTAAGTTCCAAGTGCGTTACCTACTTGTTTACCACAGTAGTAAAATTGTCTTTCAATTCATGGCGTGTACTTTGGACATTGGAACCACCAGCGACTCTCCTATGTCCGATAAAACTTAAGTCCCCAAACGCTGATGTTATATACATGCTCGGGTAAACCGTGCAGGCTATAAGTTTGGGTTGTTTCACCTCCAAGATGCGTTCATATATTCCGTTGGTCACTTATCTAGAAAGTTAAATTTCAAACACACGCTACGTTTTATGTACGGCGTCTTCTCAGGTCATAAACATTTCAAATGAAGTTGAGCCGAATTTTCACAATTTTAAGTTTATTCGGCTATCACTGATCGCCTGTAGATAAGTTCATTCACAAGTTAACTCTCCGAAAACCGCAAAAGGTAAAATGCAAAAGGCGACTGACATTTGCTATCGTCTTGTAACAAAAAGGAGAGGCGAAAGTGAGTGCGTCATATCCGCTAGCTTTGTAAATCTCCGTGGGTTTAAGATTGCTTTATCTTTTAAAGAGGCGGCTGCAATATGCCAAATGTTGAAAACTCATTCAGCAGCCAACTTAACCGTGAAAAACCTCATTATTTGCAGAAGTAACCTACCAAATAGATCTGTCGTTTTTGCAAACAGGTTAAACACTTTTGAAAATGCTGCGATGTTTCTAAACATATTGTTCAATAACTCATCACCGATCGCAATAGGCTGTTCTCATGAAATCCTCTCGTATCTGACACGGTCATTTGATCAGATACACAAATACGCTCAGATTCGGACATTGCGTGTGGCAGATTGTGAAACAGGAATGATAAAGTCTGACTGCCGAAATAAATCACCGGTCACTGACCGCCCTCTCAAGATAGTTGGCCAGCTTCAAAACGATGATGACTCAACAGATTCGGCTTTGATTTTGGCATATTATCGGTACCAGGGTGCAGGCCGCTGGACCGAAGGGGGTAATGTAGCCAGGCCATTCGATTGCTTTCAGTGCGTTGACGGTAACCATCTACGAAGCCACGGAGTCACGGACGGATACACAGGATAGAGGCGTTTGTTCAAGCTTCTCGGGTCAGGTTTGCTCTTTTTGTTCAGCGGCTTTCGTTCATCTGAAAGGCGCGAGCTAACAGCATGCTTTTGTGCTTCTCCTTAATTCCAGCTTTGGGAATTCCTGTTTGTCCCCACAGACGACTCAGACCCATACTTGACAATATGCTACAGGTCTGCTTGACATAACGTCTCGTATAAACACTTCGTTGTCGTTTGTGTGTGGGGTATGCATAACCTCGGTGCAGCTTCATATCAAACCCAGCGCCCTAGGAAAAACTACCACTTCACTACGCTTGTCCTCGACCTGGTCTTTCGGGTTTTTGTTTTGCTCATCTTTTTAGTACTCACTTAGCTATTTTACTGGCATGGTTATCCTCTGGACCAGATAAAATAACTGGTTGCCAAAGTGCCCTTTAAATGCGCGCGCCTCAATTATGACTGTTTGGTGGCTCCCTTCATTGAAGGTCTGGTCGCCTGAACAATGGATGAAAACCTCACATGTTGATCGAGTACG